CCAGGTGACATCTAATTAAATTCTTGCAAGGCAGTTGCTCTCTCTCTTTCTCTCTTTGTTACTGATAGCATAAATGGCACCTTGCTTCCCATAGGTAATTTTATGCATTGCCAATTAGTACAGTGGAAAAAAAGGTGATTGCTAACAGATCCTTGTGGCCCTAATTGGGACTTCAGCATGAATTCAAAATAAATACCCAGGAACTCAGCTTTTATCCAGCTAAGAATGACAGATCTTTGTCCTTTATAATTGGTAATCTGGCTATCATATTTTGCACTGTGAATTGAGATAAGTGCTTGTGCCACGTTCTTTTGGATTACTTGCAGTGGTGGGATTCAAATATTATTGCCACCGTTTCGGTGGGCGTGGCTTGGTGGGCTTGCTTTGCATGTGTGCACACACTTTGCGTGCAGGCGTGCACCAAATGCACACTTTGCGCAGGTGCAGTGGCATTTCAACAGGTGCAGAGGCATTCTAACTTGCCTCCTGCAAGCCTGAATGAACCCGGTCACTTCAGAGCTGCCACGCGGCACTCTTCTGTGCTGCACAAAGCAGCTGCGCTTCAAATTCAGAAGATAAAGGTGAGTATGGGAGCACGGTCAGGCAGATGGTCCCAACAGCAGAGAGGAGGAGAGAACCGGTTCGGTCTCGGCTGCTCATCGCTCCAACCATCTCACCACAACTGGACTGAACCAGTTGAATACCACCACTGGTTACTTGTCATGCAGGGTGAGATACAGTGATAGGATTCAAAAAAATTACTACCGGTTCTGTGGGCGTGGCTTGGTGGGCATGGCAGGGGAAGGATACTGCAAAATCTCCAGTCAGAGGTGGTATTTTCTGGTTCTCTGAACTACTTAAAATTTCTACTACAGGTTCTCCAGAACTGGTCAGAACCTGCTGAATACCACTTCTGGTGACATAGTCCTTAATTTTGCCACAATTTTCATGCACACATTTTTAAAAAACAAAAAACAAAAATCAAGTTGAAGTGATAGGGTGTTCAGGATTTTCAAACAGAAAAAAAATTACATAGTGAATTCTCTTATCTTCTTATGCTTTATTTAGGACATGGCCGTCAAACTCAGATCCTGCCTGTGGGGTGCTTAGATCTGGTCTGCAGGCCTGCCCTGGAAACAGCAAAGGACCAGCTCACAGTACCTCTGTCAGCAAAAACAGACTTTGGGGAGCAGAGGGCTGCAACAGCCTCCTGCAACCCTCTGCCAGCAAAAACAGAGCTCAGGGAGGCTCTGCAGCCTCCCTGAGCTCCGTTTCTTCTGACAGAAGGCTGCAGGAGGCTATCACAGCTGAAAATGGAGCCCAGCCATGGAGCATCATGGCTAAAAATGGAGCCTCAGCGAGTCATGTTGAGCTTGCCACACACACCCTGACTATACCCCTGCCCCTCCAAGGTCAAACACAACCCTGGTGCGGCCCTCAATGAAATCAACTTTGACACTCCCGATTTAGAAATATCAAGCTGCTTTTGTACAGATTCAACTATTTGTTCAATACCTACCCAAATGATCCTATCTTCCATGATCTCATTTATTCCAAGCATACATTTAGGAGGCAGGTTTTAAGAAAGGGACAGGCAGACAGGCATCAAAATTTAGATCTTCCAATCTCTTCAGTAACTTAAGATCATATCTGATGTGTCTGCAGGTTTTCCAAACTGGGGTAAACTTGCAACAGAGTAATGAGCTGAATGATAGACATTCATAAAACAGAATATTCCTTTCCAATTAGATGAGCCCCATTCTTTTGCATTCTATTTTTCATTACAGTCATGCTCCCAGCTATGCTAATCAGATAGACACTAGGTTCTTGCATGATTTGGGGGATCAACAAGACTGCAAGTTTCTGTATGAAAACCAGAATGGTCAATAAGAGTGGACCTTCATGTAGGGTTACCACTCATCCACCAAAAGAGAACTTTGTCCTTCTGTTCTGGTCCTTAAAATCACTCTTTTTGAATATCTAACAAGCAAACAAGTTTTGTCCAAGGGTTAAGGAATCAGGCTAGAAACATGAAAACTGCAATTTCTAATTCTCCATGAAAACCAACTAAGTGATTTTAGACCAGTCATTCTCTCCCAACCCAACCCACCTCACATGGTTGTTGTGGGTAAAAGGGGAAGAGGAAGGAATATTGGGTGTCTTCATTGCCATGAATTATTTAAAAATAATATTTAAAAAAGGATAAAAATAAATAAATCTCTAAAACAGAATGCTTCCCTAATAAGTCTTGACTACAAGTTCTATGACCTTAACTAGCATGGGTCAGAAACAGAAGTGGTATTCAACAGGTTCTGACCAGTTCTGGAGAACTGGCAGCGTAAATTTTGAGTAGTTCAGAGAACTGGCAAATACCACCTCTGACTGGCCTTGCCCTTATCTGTTCTCTGCCTCCTGAGTCCCAACTGATTAGCTGGGTCTTCTTTTGTTGCCCTGCACAGGAGAACAGAGCTGGAAAGCAGGTTAGTGTGATGGGGAGGGAATGGGATTTTGCAGTAACCTTCCCCTGCCACGCCCACCAAGCCACCCCACGCCTACCAAGCCATGCTCACAGAACTGGTAGTAAAAAAATTTGAATCCCACCACCGGTCAGAAAGCATAGATCAGAAAGAGGACTGAGAAAATATCTACAGATCCCTCACATCCTGGACACACACTCCTTTCCTCAGGATGCCCCTATAGGGTACCGCATGCCAAAACAACTAGACACAAATTTCCCCCCCTCCTACCATCACTCTGCTGAACACCTAATTACCACAGTACTGTCTTATATCTAAAGATATTAACCCAGCTGTATTACTGTGTTTCTTCAGACATGATTGGACATTGGAAACCTTTACATATATTTGGTTCAGAGCATGTGCAGTGGTCAGAAATATAGACAGAATGGCAACACTGTGATTCCTAAAGAAGGGCTGATTTTAGCAATACTGGGAGGAAATGTAAAATTTGGGAATGGATAAGGGGAAGGCTGGCTCAAGTGTCAACAACCAGAAACTCAAAACACAGTTATACTCCTAGTGTAAAACTTAACATTTTCTACTATTGCACAGAAAGTGAAATTTGTAGATTAATCAGCTTGGCTTTTCCTCAAAAACAAATCATGTTATGAGCTATTAATACCTAGCATTAATCCTAAAAAATGATCATATATTTGAACAATGAATTTTATTGACTAAAATAGTCTACAAAATAGTTTTGTTTTCAGTATAAGTGTCAGATTAGAAGAGAGTGGTAAAATACCCAGAGGACTACTTCATTCTATTGACCTTTCAAAACAGCTGCCACTTGAGAAGAAAGACTCCTGACTTGAAAAGCAGAGTTAGATTTCTTTATGTGTGCTGAGTTATTCAGCATTAGACAATATGAGGACATGTTTCAGATGTCAGCTCTTTAAACTATAACATTTAACATGTCAGCTGCTGTCAAAGCAGTTGGTCACATCTTACTACACTACAAATATCTCATCCATTGGCTGGGAAAGTTTGGTCACCCAGATGACTTCTGAGTCTCTTTCCTATTATCAGAAGGACACTCAAGTATAACATTCAATGTAGCACAATTCTCAGCCTCAGTAAGTAAACCCTGATACAAAAAAAATAGCACAGAAGTGGTATTCAGCAGGTTCTGACCAGTTCTGGAGAACCGGTAGTGGAAATTTTGAGTAGTTCAGAGAACTGGTAAATACCACCTCTGACTGGAGATTTTACATATCCTTCCCATGCCACGCCTACCAAGTCACACACCCACAGAACTGTTAGCAAAAAAATTGAATCCCATCACTGAAATAGCAGCTTCTTAAAATGGTAGCATAGTAAACCTGGTTGTATGCAACTTTGACATTGTTGATATTTGATATTGTATTGCTGAGGTAGTGCTGTCCACCATTCCTTGAGCTGGTAAATAACTATATTAGCACAATATTTACTGCTCCCACGGAGATTCTTTATCACCCCAAGCATTATATCAACACGTGTTGTTGTTCTTATTTATATTGTACAAGAAATTTTAAGGATCAGCATTGATTGATTCCTACATTTTCATTACCCTCTCTTTGCACAAACATTACCAACTGGAAATGGATAATGATGTTATCTATTCAGTCAGGTCTAAACTCTTGGCAATTCTATGGGCCAGGTCTTTCCATGCTTGGATTTGCATTCCATGCTTGTATACAGCATTTCTTAGAGTTTTTGTATACTCTGTCAGTTTTGATGGTGTCCAGTCCCTGGGTTCTTTGGCAGTCTGTTTTCCTTTCTTTTTCTAGTTACTTACAATTAACTTCTCTTAATGGGAGATTAGATGAGTCTGTAAGAGAGGCCACATTTTATAAATGGTTAGACTGATAAGTTTAGTTGTCCATCAAAACCTGATCTAGTTTTTACAATAGTTTTGTATGGATGTATTTGGGTGGGCCGTAACTTGTCAGTTGATTTACACCAGTTGTAGTTAGGCTGTTTTTGGACATCAGCTTAATAGCTATGGTTAGAGTGGTTAGAGTGCAGTACTTCAAGCTACTCCTACTGCAATTTGGCAGATCAAATCCCACCAGGCTCAAGGTTGACTCAACCTTCCATCCTTCCAAGGTGGGTAAAATGAGGATCCAGATTGTTGGGGGCAATATGCTGACTCTGTAAACCACTTTGAGAGGGCCGTAAAGCACTATAAAGTGGTATATAAGTCTAAGTGCTATTGCTATTGCTATCTACTTTCTAACAGGTGGTCAAGCATACTATTTCTAATAATTATAGTGGAGAGATACTGAATAATAAATATTGGGGTGATTATAACATTCCTTGATTATGAATTTAAAATGCATATGGCCTATGGATTGAAGCATAAATATAACTGTTTACCAATGTCCTCAAACTCCTTACATGATGATGTTTTGCATGTTTTTGGCACTTAGGGAAGAAGAAAGAGAAATACATGAGAATATGAGATATTTCTAATTTCCCCTTTTTACTTTTGTGCTTTTTCAGCTTTCACTGCTAGAAGAGGCAGGTTTCAAAGGTGCTCTTCTTTACATTGACCCTTGCAATTTACCAAAGTTTCAAAACCTGAGCAATAAAGCATTTATGGTGTCATTGAACAGTGGTGGTGATCCTTCGACTCCTGGATATTCCAGTATTGGTGAGTACTTTTCTAAGAGTACTTTTTATGTGAAATAAATAGTAAGCTCTTTGGTTAGTTGAAAGCATAAAGCAAAAGCAATATAAGGTTTTTGCTATCTGTAATTGTCTGTGTCAGTTGCCACCTGGTGCTCGCTTGTGTTTCACTGCTATGTGGTAATAGATTGCCATGAACTGTGGGGAGGAGGAATGAAGGAGGAAGGCTTGGGGAAACGAAAGTAAGTTCTGTGCCTTCTCAAGATGCTGCCTCAAGGTAACCCAACTGGAAGGAGGAGGGAGCTGTATACTAAAATGTGCTTGGATTGACCATTATGAAAACATCTTAACTGAACCTGATTGGTTACACAAGGTGGGCAGCAAGAGACAATTAAGGAGGGGGAGTAGAACTTAGAGATTTTGCCAAGCGATTCTCAGTTCTGGCTTTGTAATATTGTAATGCACTTGATCCCTAATAAATTATACCTTTTTCAACAAATAGAGCTAAAGATCATTTCTATTTAGAGGTTTAAACTGTGGAAAGTCTGACAAACTATGTTATGCCTTCATGCTTCTCAGGGCCCTGTGTATCATAGTCATCAGCAAAGTGTGAATGGCATAAATCAGAATTGTTTAGGTTGCTTATTTAAGCATGATTTATAGATGTTTTGGGCTTTGCATGAATGTGACATGTTCTCTATGATTCCTGAAAGCAATCCTCTATTTTGAAGGCTTTATGTAAATCAGTTAAACATAAATTTATATGAGTCTCAATTATATTCTCCATGTTCTGCCAATGGAAACTGTAGAAATGTATATGAAAACATATGGTAATGCAGTCTTTGCGGGGGGGGGGGAAGTAGATTGTAACACAAATGGTATCAAACAAAATTGAGATTGGAAAATTAATTTTTTTTAATTTTTAAAAAGCAGATGTACCTAAGAACATACTGAAAGTTATAAAGAAGATTTGGCCAGATAAGTCTACTCCAATAAACAAATTATTCCCACACTGCCTTTTCCTTGGTACAAAACTGAGAGTCTGAATGTCCACCGTGGTCCCATATTGCTAGAAACAAAAGGCTGAAAAATAATATTTCTGTCAATTTCCCTTAGTTTCTGAAAGAATTTATCTGCTGAAGTTCAGATGCATGTGACCCTGTCATGCATTGTGCTCTATGATAAAGCTTTGTTTTTGTGAAGCAAAACAACCTCTTTGTCTATGGATTTCAGGGTAGAGTTCTTTCTTGTCTAACTTTATGGAAAATGTCATCATGGAAAATGGAAATTTATGGAAAATGTCATCATGGATTTTCCCTGGATTGAGACTTGGAAAACATTTAGTCATCTTTTTACAATTGTATCTAAATGAAAAGGACATGCAGCGAGTTTTAAAATGGTCCTTTGCCACTAGAGTTAGAAATATCACTTATAAGTATTGATTATTTTGCTGGTAAATTATTGGCAAAATGCTTTATAGAAGAACTTGGTAGTGCTACTGTTATGACTCTAGTTTATCATCTTGAGATATTTGCAGGGAAGGGTCAAGGGAACAAATGAAACCATCCTTGTGCTATCATGAGCCATGATGGCGCAGTGGTTAGAATGCAGTACTTGCAGGGCTAACTCACTGCTCACTCCAGGAGTTCAATCCTGAACAGCTGAAGGTTGACTCAGCCTACAGAGGTTAGTAAAATGAGGGCCCAGATTGTTGAAGGAAATTGTTGGGCTGACTCTGTAAACCACTTAGAGAGGGCTGTAAAGCACTGCGAAGCAGTATATAAGTCTAAATGCTGTCATGACTTAACATCTGCCATGCAAATACTGGATGTGCATAAAAAGGAAAACAATTTGTAGTGTGATGGAAAGACAGTTTCCTTGGATAGAAGTATGTCTCTCTAAAAAATATTGAATGTTGGTATGGGTGGCAAATGGAATCTATGAAATGTGTCTTTAAGACCAGGAAAATCAGGAGATCCAGGCAGTTCAAATAAGTATAAAGATTTATTAAAAGCTTAAGGTCTTTATAAAAATCTGAGCTACTAACTGTCAAGGAGAAAGAGTGGGAATTAAGAAGGCATTCAAGATGGGATGGCCTTAGATCTCTTATGAGTATGCAGGAACTCATGACTGATGACCCCTTCCTTGGGCGCAACCTGGTCTCTCCTACATATTTATATAACTTACAGGGGTGGGCTTCAAATAATTTAACAATTGCTTTTCTGCCCAGTTTCAAAATTGGGCCGGGGGGGGGCATATTTGCCCTCCCTGGGCTCCGGAGGCTCTCTGGAGGCCAGAAACAGGCCTGTTTCTGACCTCCTGGAACTTCCCAAAGGCCCATTTTCACCCTTCCAGGGCTCCGGGGGCTTTTCTTGAGCCTCCAGGAGGCCTGTTTTGCTTTTTTTCGTGCCCATTTATGACCTTTCAGAGCCTCTGGCAGATCCGTTTTTCATCCTCACTACATAGGTATCAGCAGTATAAACCCAGCTAACTTCATAGGTGGATTCTATTGAGATACACAAGAATTTTCTGCAACTTTAGCCTTGCATGTCCTTAAAATTATTCTAGAATAGTGTTTCTCAACCATTGCAACTTTAAGATACATGGATTTGGACTTCCAGAATTCTCCAGCCATCTAGGTTAACTGGGAAATTCTGGGAACTCAAATTCACATATCTTAAAGTTGCCACGGTTTGAGAAACATTCTTGTAGCAGGATTGGGACTTGTGATATTACATTAGTGATAGAAAAGGACAGCAGTAGAAAGATATTTTCCTCAATATGCCTTTCCAAAGTGAAACAATCAAGTGGATTGCATCTCATATGTTCCTTCCAATATATAATGGATAGATAAGACATGCATTCATACATGTTTAAAGTTACAATTTAAAAAGACATATTTTAAAGTATGTTCTTCAGACACTAACAATCTTGAGTTATACAGCTGACTCTAATCTCTTAGATGAAAGTAAAGAAAATTTAGAAGAGCTCATTATGAAAGTCAAAAGGGAATGTGAATTTTCCCAGTTAATGCTAAATATTAAGAAGAGAAAGTTAATATTTTGCGAATTCACAATTGATAGTGGTTAAAAGAAATAAAGCTATTCCTATATATAATTTGCAGTGCACATATTAATTATTAACGTACTTAAAGCTACATTTTAAAATGTGTATTTTAAAACAGGCAGTTCAAATTAATAATTTGACGTATAGTATGCAGACAATGCCACTATCAATCAAAGTGAAGAAGACTTAAGGCAGCATGTTAAGAAAGTAAAAGTGAAAATATTGAAAAAGACAAGTCTTAGTGAATTTACATTTGATGGCAAATAAGTGGAGATAATAATTTGTGTTCTTGGTCTCAAGAGTAGATAAGAGGGCAGAATTCTGGAGGAATTGACAAGTTTCATCCTAAGAGGGAAGAGAATGTCAAACTTGAAAAAAAGAGATTCTTGGTGTTATCTGATCTTGGTTGTTTTCTTGCAGATATTTCATTACCCAAAGTAGATAACATCATCAGTGCTAGTATTCAGCACTAATTCTAGACATTGATACTTGGAAAAGAGCTTGAAAATGAATATATTTCAATAAGTACTGGAGAAGAAGTAGCATTTCCTGTAGTAATGTACGGTGATCAAAGCTGGACAACTAGAAGAAAGGAATATATCTTTAAATTATGGATTTAAAGACAGTTATTAACAGTGCCATGGATTCCAAAAGAACCAATTAGTCAAATTTAAGACTGTAAAGACTGATGGTTAAAGACTAATGGTTCCTCTGAGGCAAGAATTAGCAAGCAGCGAATTTTGGCATGTGATGTGATTGTATGATCCACTAGGAAAAAATATGATGGGAAGTTGGAAGGAAGTACAAAAAGAAAATAATCCTTCCATTCCCCCACCCCACCCCACCCCACCATCCTGCCAGAACCAATGAAGTTTCTTGGATGAGAAGCGAAACATCTTCAGGGAAAAACAAAGAAAGTCTAGTTGCTTTTTGAAAAAGCATTTTTGAGTCAGCCATGACTTGGATGCCTGAGAATCTCCATTGACAGAAAGAGAATTAATTTTAAAAAGCGGACATACCACTTTGGAAATAGTATTGAAAAATCTTTGAGAGTGCTGCATTTTGTCAGAGCAGGCAAGTTGAGATGGGAGGCATTTTGATATGCAGCCTCAGAAGCTATGTTTGACTTGATGGCAACTTAACTAAACATCTCATTCGAGAAGAGGGTTTTTTTTTTAATGTGCAGATGAACGTGGAAAAGATATGAAGCAGAAGTATGACTAAAGATACATGAAATAAGCAGGAATTTAAAAAACAACAACAGGTGGCTTCTCCTTGATGCTCTCTGAGCTTCGTTGTTTTCATGCAGGTTTTTATTACCTAGCTAAATAACATATTCAGTGGTTGAAGGGAGTGGGTTTTGCTCTCTGTTTATTATTCTTCGACAGAGGTTTTATCTGTGTTCAAGTTTAGAACATAGAACAAGGGTGACAAACTTAATTTCATTGAGGGCCACATCAGGGATGTGATTGACCTGGGGGGGGGGGCATGGTTGACTGGGTGGGCATGGCCAACTGTGTGGGCATTGCCAGCTTGACACCACTTTCCAAACTGCTGGTATGTTTCCTCTTCGCATTGGGTAAACTGGCCCGAAGTCATGCTGACCGAGTGTTTCCTCTTTGCACTAGGGTAGACTAGGCCGAAGCGATGCAGGCGGCCCCTTACATTCTCCATGATGGGCACGCGGATTGCATGCAGCCCATGTTTGACACCCCTGGCATAGAACATAGAATCATAGGGCTGGAAGGGACATGGCATTACTTCTAGTCTGACCCCCTGCTAAAAGCAGGCAGCTTTATACCATCCCTATCAAATGGTCATCCAGTATGTTTTTGAAAACCTCAATTGGTAGAGCATACACAACTCTGGGGGACATGCTATTCCATTATTCTCACTGTCAGAAAATACATCCTTATTTCTATCATCCTAGCACTGGAACATGGAAACAATCAAGCTCAG